GGAATATGTCAACTCCACTCACAAATGCCTTAAATATTTCAAAAGAAACTACAATATTAGTTTGACAATGACTCACAATATATTTTGATATATTTTCACTTAGTGCGAATAAATCAAAAGCCGCCAAAGCTTGACTAGCTTTACGACCTCAAACGATATGATTTATTGTATATAAAATTTCCAATTTTCATATTATGCCCAGCCGAATGTTATCAAAAACTTTTAAGTCTTTAAGTTTGAACGGAAAATTTAGCTGTCTATTTATAAATAATATAGTATATATATAAAAGCGCATAAGGGTATTAAAAAGCAGGTTATTAAATTAGTATAAATATTTTTGAGAATTATTAAGCATTTGCAAGAGAAATAATGTACCCAATTTAATGAAAAACCGGCCACATATATATTATTATATACATGTTTTATTCATTTTATTAAGAACAAAACTAAAAGTAATTTAATATTAAAGCCGGTAGGCAGAATGTATATTCATATGTTCATACATTTCGCTTGAAAGTTTAACAAGGCATTTGCCCTGCTAGAAGTTCGGCATGCTCTTAACGAGAGTGAAGCATTTGCTTGTATAGCAGCTACAATGAAGAATGCTGACGAGCTGCTCTGATATTATTTTTGTTATGATAAAGGCAAAATCTCAACAAATATGCAAATATTTAGTTTACCGCTAAATACTCACTGCCAACCGAGCCAATTGCCTGTAGGTCTCCACATAAATAGAAGGCATTCCTGGCACGATAACAACAAATTGCTGGCGGCTTTTTTGAGTAACAAAGCTGCCAAACAATGCGAGCAACTTTAGCTACAACGTTAGGCAGACAAGCAGTTGCTTTTAATGTCGATGATTAAACGCTTAAGCCGAGCCACTTAAATGCAACTTGTGCGTCGCTTTGTTGCCTATTTTTAGGCCATTTAATCGACAAGCAGCTGAGCCAAGTTTGATGCGTTTGCTCAGGCATTGAAAAGAGTTTACACAGCAGACACACAGATTGTTAAATGGGGCGTATAAGTAACGTGTGCTGCTTAGAATTGGCAAATTAATGCTCAAGTAATACTTGCTTCTTTTCACTTTTCTATTCGTCAATTCCAGTATTCCCTGCTGTCTGTAAAAAAGTTTCATCCGAAATCATGTAAGTCTCTAGTGAGAATTTAACGACTAAGAGATACCCTGAACTATGAGAGCTGATATTCCAGTCATTACATTTCTTGTATACATTCATAGCAAACAAAACAAGCACACACATATACACAAGCATGCCTAAGCCCGCGCTTACTATAAGAACTTAATTGTTAAATAACATTCTTAATGAAATTATCAGAGCGTGATAATGACATTCGTATGTGTATATTTGCCAAAGCACATGTCTCTAGTATTTTAAATAAGTTTTCTGGGAATTTTCGAGGGGCAAGAGAATGCGGAGTATGCAGAACCTACAAAGGAAACTAATTTTCCTAAATTAAAAAATGAAAATTGACTCAGCTTGTCGTTCAAATCAAGAGTATATTTACTCTACGGGTTCTGCGACACCTTCTTCTGTCCGTCACATACATGTTCACAAGCCCAATATACCCTACATTGCCGTTTTCGATGGGATCAGGGTATAGGAAAGTTCGGCTACGGAAGTCGTAGTCTTTTATTCAGTATTTTAACTTTTTTATTAAATTTGCGCACCAAGTAGGGCCAAGTTTGTTGCCAGCTTTTGTTGCTACTTAATGCCACTTTGTTTATTAAATAAATATTTGACACAACTTTCGGGTATGCCGCCTTGATTGCCCACGCAAAAGGTATAGGTCACAGCCCAAGAAGTCCTAAGCATAAATCTTCAGAAAATTATACAATTTAATGGCCAACATAAAAATGCACTCATTATAAAATATTCTTAATTTAATGTTGGCTGAGCTTTGTTTTAACGTTTCTTTGATGTCGTTAGCCCCATCGATTTTCGAGCCACCTTCGCTAAGGATGGACGTGATGAACTGTAAGCACCGGAGCAGGCAGGCACAGATTTGCAATAAAATTCAACGTGGAAGACTTAACTACAGTGACCTGAGATGAGGCTCGATTTAATATAGAATGATATGGTGTGCTTTAAGCCCATATGCTCAGCATACGCATTCAATGCTCAAAACTCAACAATATTTTTAATTATTAAAATAAAATGCTACACATTCATATATAAATATGACAAATCATCATGAAATGTATAAATCATATGGTTACAAAATTAATAATAATACAAATCTCGTTCCCTTGCAAATTACTTGGTATCAAAAAGTAAACAATGTAAATAAGCCTTTCGTATTATATTTTCGGCAGACCCAAACAAATTTATTCACATTAGTCCACATGTGTAGGTGGCACCCACTAAGAGATACTCAATTGTCTGGGTTAACAAAGGGCGCTATAATTTGACGTTCTCTCTCTCACGCTCTCCCTCTCTCTTTCTCTCACCCTCTCAAATTTCATAATGATATTTTGCAACAATATAAACAGGCAGCTACCTGGTTGGGGCTTAAAGCAGTCGCAGCTGCGGCACCACAACTACACAAACTAAACTAAAGCACAGGCATTTATCGGGCACCACACATAAGATATACATATCTATTTATATATGTATGTATATATATATATATGTATATATTCATGTATGTATATCTGTTCACAGTTGCTGGGTGTAAATACGTGTGCGAGAGAGACTCAAGCAAGACAAACCCCATTAAGTAAAACTGGCGCTCAACCACATCAAATTGCGGCTGGCGCTGCCGACGTTCTGGCTGCCTGGGTCGCCAGTGAGCCCCTTTGAGTGGCTCAAGTGACCGACACTCGGCTTGGAGAACGTCTCACATTACGCATACGCCACCGGACGCGTTGCGCAAAGTTTTCCGGCTTTGCTTCACTGGCAATATTTTTATGACCGGACCCAGACTCTTGGCACGTGCCAACATGAATCGAAGCTTTGTGCAAATATGCAGCGAAATGCAGCGAAAATATCACCGAGTGGAAGCAACAGTTTTGCTTCTTCTTCGAATGCCTGATGCCCTTCATCCTCAAGTGGGTTACTTAGTCAGTGTGTTGAGGCACGTAGAGCATACGCACATGCTGCGATACGTTTTGTGAATTCATCTCTCCATTCAATTCAATTCACAGAGCCATAAAACTGCGCTCGTGTAAATACAAGTTATGGACCATTTTCCCATTGCACTAGAACCAAATCCTTCACTTGCTTTCTAGATGAGCTTTATTTTTTGAATGTAGTACGTATGTACTTATATATATGTATTCAGAGCCCGTCGACAAATACTCTGTATAGCATACAGTAGCTATTAAATTCAGTTGTAAAGCAGGAAATGCGTTGGTTCATATATCTGAAGGAATATTTACCAAATCTGCTTATGAAATTCCAAACACGTTCATAAAATATACATAAACATATATACGCACGCATGTGCCATATATTTATATACATAAGCGCACATAGGTAGGAACAGGTATACATATATATTCATGTTGACACGCTGAAGTTTTTCAATATGAAGCACAACCAATGCACGTTCCAATAAATTACATCAAAATGGCATACAAAAAGCAGCTGGGCTTGTCAAATTGCCATAAAAGCATTTCAATAGGCCCTAATAGTGGCTTCACATAAAAAGAATTCCATTTAAAAAAATAAGCTTATTTAACAATAATAATATGTGAAAAAAAATTAAAATATATATAAATATAATTAATAAAAACATAAAATGAATTTCTACTTAATGATTTTTTAAATTTGGCTAATGAATAAAATCAGAAAAAAATTCATGATTAATTGCCATTTTTATGTTCAAATTTTTTTGTATTTACTCTAAAAACATTATTCTATTAATTACAAACATTAAATAAATATTATATTTAATTGTATTTCCTCTAAAATATATTTGATTGATTTGCCCGTAATTTTGTTATTATAAAAAGTTTATCAGTTTGAAATTTCTGTATTTCAATGGCAATGCCAGTGTAAGAGCCTTTGAATGAACTCCTTAGAGCAGCCCGTATATTGGGACTCTAATAACCAATGATTATATTTCCCATTCTGTATATAATTCATTCATAAATACGCAAAAGTCAAGGCACAGGCACAAGCACGTTCAATGTCGGCAGCACAGTGGCGCGCACGTGGCGTCCGTGAAGCAAAAAACAGAAAAAAAAAAAACAAAAAAAAACATCACTAACCGCCCTCAGTCTCTCAAAGGCGTTAAAGACGGCCAACGATTGGTTTTCAGAAACACAAGACAACATCTGTAGCATTGGGCGCCAAGAATATTTCCCAAACAAAGCGAGACGAAATTTCCCAGTGTTCGCTTGCCCAAAGAGAGCGCGATGAGAGAATGGCAAGTAAATGCCGAGCGACGTAAATGCTAACGCTTTGACGGCGACGTCGGCATCGGCATCGGCTACTGCAGCGCCAGTGGCAGCGGCAGAGGTTGCCTTTCACTGGCTTTTCAGACTCAATGGACCAGTTTGGAAAATTCGCACTGTCAGTTTGTTTTAAAATTTTGCCGCGTTGCGTTCGCTTGCGAAGCGGCTGAGAGAATTTTTTCAAAAATAATTGCGCGCGAAATGTGAATTCGTTTTGTGAACCTATTTTGAGTGACATCTGTAACAAAAATAAACACAATTGTTAAACGTTGTAAGTTATTCACTGTGCTCTAAGCTTAAAGTACTATGGCAACACTTACGCCTGAATAATTTAGCCAAATTTAAATACTTTGCTATGAGATAAAAACAAAAATACAAATAAATGCATGAAAGTCATAGCTGAAACTTGTGAGAGGTTTTTATGAATGCTGATTTCAGTTTGAGTTTCAAGTGAAAAACATAAACAAAAATAAAAACAAATACAAAAGTAAAAAAAAAATAAATGTAAAACAAATGGAGCGCATTCATTGCAGGGGCTTAGCAGTTGAGTCACTCTGCAATTTGGTTAAATAAATGCAAATATATATTAGCAACACTTTAGTATATTTGACTGGATTTATCAATCGGATTGAGTAACAATATTTAAATCTAATAAATCTATTAGCACAAAGCTTAAAGAAAACTAAACATTAAGATATGTTTTCTTCAATAAAATATATATAATCTGTGACGTCCTAATAAAGTTTGACTAAATACGATTCGACTTCTCCTAGAAGAAGAGGTTTGTGCATGAGAAACATCGTGGATAATTTTGTTTTCAAATCAGGTGAGATAAAGTTATATTTTATTGAGTTTTAAGTTTTTATATATTTCAATCGACGTATACTTAATATTTTCTATTATAATATTGTGCTCTAAATTCCCATTTTCTAGCAGATTAGTCACCTCTAACATCATTGATCAGAGTCTATATATAATGTGAGCAAATTGAATTGAAACTAAACACAAATTAACAAATTGAAGTCGTACATTGATCACTTCTTGAATTTCGCTGAACAGTGAACGGGGAACGTCGATGTAAACGCTTTGGCAACAAATAATTAACAAGTGGATTGTGTTTAGTCTCAAATTCAATGGGCGACACGTGCCCAGGTTGTTAATCAAGCTACAGCAAAATAATAACTCAACAATAGAAATGGAAAACAGGCATCATTTGCCAATGAAAATTAATTAAAAAACAGCAGCATGTGTGCGCTCATATACATATATATACATGCTTATGTATGTGTGTGTGTGTGTGTTTGTATACAAATAAAAAGCAAATGATATAAAAAATCCATGCTGATGTAAATAAGGTGTTCCGGAAGGAAGCCAGCGGAAATCAGAGCAACGCCTGCATAAAATGAACTTCGTTGTGTCCTTCACTCGTCCCGCCGGTTCGCAATGCTCTTCCAGACTGCCGCTGATTACGTAATTACATGAATGTTAATTTTTTTTATTTAGCTTGCTTTGTTTTGCCAGTGGCAGACGCATATATCAGCAGAGTCACGAACAATTAAGGAAGGCAAACATCACATAAAATAATGAGCGAAGTTTTGTCCGAAGTGCAGCAGAAAGAGACACGAATACCTGGCTAACAGTATTTGTGTAGCAGGTGCGTGTTGGAGACATTTATGTGGTACGACTGCAGGCAAATATTTTCGTAATTAATAGAGAAAGTTAAAGTTGATTGTTGGCAAGGTTATTTGCCCAAAGGTAGTTTAAGTCAAATGTCCGCCCAAAACGCAGCTCACACTCCGGCAGCGAAAGCACATGTCAGACGGAGATTTATGACCAAAAACAAAAAACGGAGACCAAAACCCCAAGGGCTACCTTTGAAATGGTCTCGCACCTTTTCATAAGACTTGAGGTTTTTGGGGCTTCCCCTGAGTCGTATATCCTTAAAAGCCCTGTCAGGAAATTAAACTATTAAGCTTTCTTGATGTACATAAAGTTTTAATGTCATCCGAAAAGGTGTCTGGGAAATTATGTTCCGCTATCTGGGCCAGTTTCACCTGTCATTAAGAGGAGAAGCGAACCATTTACTTTTACCTTTACCTCGACTCGGCCATAGACCAATTTCGCTGATAAGTGAATCCAGTAAAAGTAAAAGTTTAGTGGCAAATCAACATAAAATCCTGTTGATTACCTCAAGTTTTCCAGAAGAACAGCTAAGCTATTTCAGTGCTGTCAGCAACACGCAGAGAAATTACAACAGTTTGTGCCACAAGTGTTAACAGCATCAGATGAAAATCGATATGTCATCTGCGGTCAGGATTGAAGCACGCACAACATTTGCTCAAAACTTATCTGGAATTTTTGGTTTTTCAATTATTATTTGCTTTATTTCTCGAATAGGATTCCAAGTAGCTTGACAATTTACTTTGATTGATCTAAGTATAGAACAGTTAAAGGTTGTTGGTTTAGACAATGGTAAAGACCATTTACAATGAACTTTTATTTCATAAATAAATATGAATATTTATCTAAATATTTGTTTAGGATTTCATAAATAAATATGAATATTTATCTAATTGTTTGTTTAGGAAAACTCTTCATATAGTATCTAGTTTATATGCACGATTTCAGGCAGAAATAAAATTTAAATTTCAATTTCTCAATCACAATTAAAAAGCTCAAGAGAACATAATTTGTGTACTAAAATTAGAAATGTTTTTATATAAAATTGCTGAAAAATTACTTAAAACATGACGTAGGCAAAAGTGTTATATATTATGAAAGAGTAAGAACGTATACTTAATTTTTTATTTTGTTCTGTCGAGAGGCTCTTAGAAAACATATTGAGCATTCGTGTAGAGTTAATTAAAGTGAACGCACTTAATATTTTATTCGTACCTAAGACAATAAAATTGTTGGCATATTTTGACCATCCAATCATCGTTGTGCCAAGTGTTGCGTGCAATAGGCAAAATGTAAATAAGCGAAAGCATTTATCATGGCTCCCATTCAATTATTTTTATTTATAGGCTACATATGTAGATTTATGTACAAACTATACACACTTATACCAATGTAGCCATATATATTCAACATCAATTGTAAGTGCGCCTTGGGCCTGATTGCATTAGATTTAATTCCAGAAGACGTCTGCCAGCGGGCACCATAATCGTTATCGCCCTAATGTAAGCTGGTCAGTAATAGAATTTAGGAGCATTGCCTCGACTTGATGCTGCTCACTATCTAAATTGAAGTTGAGCCAATCGAAATCAAAAAATGCGTAAACAGTAGAAAAACTAAAATGAAAAACAAACACACGAAAGCAAAGCAAACAAAAAAATGCTAAAGTTTATAGACGGCAACAATCTGTTGTGCCTTCTCATCGATTGTGGCAATAAATCGACTGAGCAATTGACAGCCGAACGAGAAGTCAAACTGTTGCGATTATATACAAAACTAAACTAATTCTTATCGAAACTAAATTTAATTTTCTATGTACATCAAAGATATATTAAATTTAAAATATTTTCTAAACGCAAAAATTCCTCTGACAAACTATAGTAATTTCGTTTAATTGGCTTTAAGTTCTGCATAAATAATTCCTTCGCAATTATTGGTAAGATTTTTACTTAGCTCAAACATCTGAAGATTTCGATGACTGGAGCTATCGATATGGACAATCCATAAATATTTATTATTATTTTCAATAGTACTCAGCTAATTGAGCACGACAAGCACACACACAGAAAACACGCCCCCTCAGTCAGCATTGAAGTTGGCTGTCGTGACTTACAATGAGGATTTCGTAAATATGTTTTCCATGATGTTTTCTCATTCTCAGTTGGCCGTGTTTATCGGGCCACTTGACGCACAGAGAAACATCTTCGCCTGTCCACTGCGCGGCCAGTCGATTCTATATCTCACGTAGAGCTGCTCGTATATTCATGTTTATTTAAATTTATATATTTTTGCTCAATTACTGAAGCTAATCTTGTTGTTGTTGTTGTTGGTGTTACTATGCGTAGAGTGGCCGTCGCAACGGCCACCAAACATTTGTTTTCATTTTTTGCCTGTGCAAATATGCAAAATGATTGACAGCACAATTAAGATGCCGGCACTGAGCTCATAGGTAATGCAATATTTAAATAAACAGCGGGTTGCAGCGGGGCCACGTGCCAGCTGCAGCCATATAAGGCTTTGAAATTTCTAAGCACATGCAGATCATAAGCATAATAATACCATTTATTGTTATTCAGATACTTTTATAAAGTTCCATAAGTAACGATAACAAATACAATTACTGCTTTATCAGATGTCTTTAGTAAGCATGTGAACGCTGGAGCTAAATCAAACCGTCGACTGCCTCGAGTCAATGGCCAACCATATTGGTCAACCTATAGAGAAGGTCAGCTTGGTTCAAGTTAGTTTATGAAATATAAAATTTAGTTTTTCCGTTTTTTTCAACTCTTCATACTAGTGAATAAATCATTTATGTAAAAAGAGATGTAGAGATGCTCGAGATGTTCGAGATGCTTTTTAGCGGCACAAAACCAATATTATAAAGAATATTTTTTTAAAATATATAAATTAATAAATTATGAAGTAAATACATTTGTAATAATGTATGACTTATACTTTATTATTATTATTTATTAGATAAAATATACTAACGATATGCGATATATTGTTATATATAATAGTTTGTCGCTTGAGTAATTGGAACGTAAAACTTCGTTAATTAAATAGCTTATGACAAGCTAATTGCCCCATTTACTATTTTAATTTATTTCATTTTGATTTGTTTCAAGTATAATTTATGAATGAACTTAGATATTACAATACAATCATTTATCAAAAGACTTATATTTTTATTTATTACATTCCTGCTTTTACTTGATAGTTTCTTTGCTGGCGACGAAAGGCTCCCATCTAGGCTAAATATTTGTGTGCATACTGTTTTGCTTGGCCCTTGGTGTTGTTCTTGTTAGCCTTGGCTGATTGCCAGCACACAAAATGAACAAGGGCAAAAAGAAAAATATAACGCAAGTGAAAAAACGGAACATATACACGTGCCGATTTATACAAGTTTTTTCGGTCATACCCGGCGTATACGCAATGTCGCTTGTTATAACCGTTTGTTATCAAACAATGAATTTACTTCTCGTGACATAGCTGACGCTCTGAATTCGAAATAGTTGACTTTATTAAAGATATAAGGCAATTAAGTTCTAGTCACATAAGTTTTTTATACTCGTTAAGAACTTGAATTCGTCTGACATAGATAAAACAATTATATATACCAAAGTTGAACTTAATAGATAGATATGGAATATAGAAGATAAATAGACAAACGGGCAGTGCAAAAAGCTAATATATTCTAGTTATGTCTTTATATAGAAGTTCAATTTAGCTTTCGTTAGGCTTTCTCGTCTCTATAATCATTAAATGAAATGAAAGTTGACACTTTAACCTTTAATTTCCAGTCAATATTTTCTATGTTGACTGCATTTTTATTTCTACCAAAGCCAAATTTGAAAATTTGTGACAAGGCTACTCATCTAAGTAGGGCAGGTGATGAAACCACATACATATATATAACATATACATATACATATATACAGCGAACATTGGAAAACTTGTTGATAATTATGCAAAATTGAATGCATCAATTACGCGAGACAAATCAAAGCTGTCAGCCTTTAGCATTTCAATATGAATTGGCCAAGATCCGCCCTGGCCCCGCAACCAGTCGAGGTTGTGTGCATTCGGCTGTAGTCAAATCGCCAATGATAAAATCTAACTCTACGTGCAACTAAAGAAGGAAAATAA